ATGTCTATTATATATGTACAATATATATATATATATATATACATATATATATATATATACATATATATATATATATGTATGTACTCATGTATATATATATATATATGATATATACCTTGATCTATACATATACCTGTGCCGATACATATACACACATATATATATATATATATATATATTATATATGTATATATATATATATATATATATGTATATATACATGCCTATCTAAGTATATGTTAATATATAAGAGGGGCTACGAGTGTATTTCTTAGGAAAATGCCTCAGAAGTTCTACTTAAACTGATTATTAGCATAAAGAGTGAACTTTCGTTCTTATTGATCTGATCAGTATAAAATTGGTTTCTGAAGTTCTGTCACGCACACGCTGTACAAGGGAGAGAAGAAGAAAAGGATCCATATCAGTACATTCTATGTCTGATTGAGTACCTGAAAATCATTGATATTCTTTATGCTCGTCCTGACTGTATGTATTAGAAATCTTAAGTAGTCCTTTACAGTCGTGCCAACCTGACATGACTTGCTGCATCTTTGCACGAGCGGTGTTAAACAATACTATTTATAGTGTGACATCTTCATTTGTAGTATACTATTCCGCGCTGCAATACTCGTGACGATAGCTTAAGGTACTTTACACAAGCCTAAGCATATTACATCTCCGGGTGTCTTGAAAATACGTAACAGTACATTTGCACAAGGTACTAATGTTTACCTGAGTGTTCTCGATCAAACGACCTATGAGCATGGTGGTAAAGAGCTCAGTCGATATCGATATTTTCCAACTGGATTTGATGTATTCTCCTAACAAACGCATTTCCGCTACCTCGTATCTTAAATCAAAGTGGCTGCCGCACGTAAGTCACACATGCGTGTGTTCTTGGTATGCTTTTTACATACATGGGCTTTCACTCACATTATCCCCAACCTATATACACTATAGTTCCCGGAGACATACCAGAAGTTCAATGATCTGGTTGTGCAGAAGTTCGCCAAATCTCGCAGTCGCGCGACCAAGATGAACATGGTACCACTCAACGCTGCAGTCATGGCGGGGTCGCAGTTGACACTCAAGGAGTCCAAGGAGGTTCTGGGCCATATCTCGGCTAAAATGGCTAAGTCGGACGAGAGGAAGCTCATGTTTTTGCAGGTGCGATTCTGAAGCGGGTTGTCCCAAAAAAATTGTTTATTGCAGGTGGACACACAAAACGTATCGTTGTTCTGGGTTGACCGAGTCTGTGATGTGTACGTATGTGATTTTTGTGCGGGACTTACAGAGTCCAAGTGTAGGCGTGCATCGTACTTGGCTGTAGTGTATGGCGTGTGGCCCATAATACCGCTGGTTCTATAAGGCGTCTGCAAACAACTACCAGCGCTTGCCTACTCCTTCGCACGTGTGAACATCAGTCCTGCAAGCATAGGTTGACTTGTTGTGTGAACAAACTCGGTATATGAAGCCATACATACAGCTCAATATATATATTGTGCGTGGTTTTCAGCTACGACTATATGCATTTTTAAACTGTACCATCCGCTAGTGGCCACCCACGTCTATAGCACGTAGTGCACGGGGTATAGCTGTTACCCGTACGCTTTGTATGCCGAATATTATGGATGCTTATTTTTTGATGTAGCGCACTGTTTCGGGCACTGATTACTATTAGTATCCACGCACACAACTTCTGAAAGTCACATAGCTACTGATAGTCGAGGCACTTTAGAGCGCATATGTTCTATCACCCGTATGGGTATCGTACAAATATACACTCTTGCATCAGCGCATATGCTATCCATTTTATATATACTGTAATGGCTTCTGTTCTCACTCTTTCCCCTACCTACTATCCATTTTATATATTGTAATGGCTTCTGTTCTCACTCTTCCCCCTACTTACTATCCATTTTATATATATTGTAATGGCTTCTGTCCTCACTCTTCCCCCTACTACCTATATAATTTATATATATTGTAATGGCTTCTCTCCTCACTCTTCCCCCTACCTACTATCCATTTTATATATATTGCAAGGGCTTCTGTTCTCACTTATCCCCCGTTGCTTTGCTCTGCAGTTCGCCTTTGCCACCACATGTGTGGTGTTCCAATCCGACTATCTCGGTAAATACGCCCAGGCCCACACAGCTCAAGTGTTCAAGGAAGCCGATCAACAAGCAGATGTGGACTTGGACCAAATGGCTGCAAAGAAATAAATTTATATATCAAACTGGCCCGTTTGCGTGTGGGAGCAACTTGGTTCACAGTGCTAAAACTAGGTTTATAGTGTGTCGGTGACGCTTACATTTATGGGGGTCTGAATCTGCAGATTGGTCGAAGTTTGTATTTGGTTAACTCACGTAGTTCTGGCATCGAAAGGGGTAAGCCAGCTTAGATATCCTAGTAAAATTTTTGTAGCAAACGGACCATGCAGATGATTCGAGTCTGGTCCGCTATGTGGGCTAACTACTCCGTGGATGTGGCAGTACACGGCAATTGTGTATACAAACGCGCACATACAATTTTCATTTGATGTATGAGCAGAAGCATATGTATGTGTATTCATATACTTATTATAATAAGAGTGCATTTAATAAAACATGGAGTTTAGCTACCGAGTGTCCCTTCCCTACTCTTGATTTTTTGTTTATTTTTCTGAGAATACGTGACCATGTCTCGATACTGGCATTTGTTACACGTGCGAGTGGTCGTCGTGCTGCATTATTGCTATTTGGAACATCTCAAGCGGCATTCAGTGTGGGCCAATGAAGGTGACATAGCGAGATATTCCATGGCATTCCCGTGGCACTGAATGTCCACGCAATTGTGTCGTATCTGTTGTTCGTAGGTAATTAGTGCGACTGTGCATTTCATCTTATACTGACATAGACATATCAGTTGTACGGTGTTTGTGTATGAGATCGCTTACCGACTGGTGCGTATCTTACACCATCCTAGTGCCTAGAGCGCTGAATGTTTGTTTCATATACACAATATATTAGGTGTGCGCGTCATTTGCTTTCAATTCTTTAAGATTCGTGGCATCCGTGAAAGCTTAGCGGATCACGCAACACAGAGACGTAGTGATCTCGTGCTCTGTACGTTTTTATTAAAGTGAAACTCGAATGCTAGCAACCTTTTTCAGAAAAATATTCTGGTTTGGCAGAAAATATTGGCTCTGAGTGCCCAGAGTTAGACTAGTAGCATTGTCTTGCATTCACATGTGTGCATTGTAGAATGCAGTAATTCATTGTGTGCAAGCAATCTCTCGTACAGGTGAGTCTGCTAACTGTGCCATCTACCAAATTGCAATAACTGATGCATTTTAAGAATAAATAAAAATGTATGTGTATCGATATACATTGATTTATATGTAGGCGAACGTGCGTATGATGATATACGTGCTGTCTATAAAATCAGGCATACTGTAAGAGGAGAAGATATCTACAATTGAATCCGAGCCACAAAAATTACCCCATAGTACGAGAATTTTGGTCACTCAAGAAAATAGCCTGAAGCTTTATTGACAAGTGGAGACATCATTTCACCTCGTATCCGAGGCCAATATTTTAAGTAAAATGTAAAACCGTATTTCGCCCTGAATTCGAAAGAAATCTATTTGGTGGCTACTCGGGTGCGCTTATCCCAGGCGAAATTTGCACTATAAGATTTCTTCTTAAAAGTCTTGATGTTAGGTTCAGTCACCTCGGGCGTCCATCCTATAATAAATAAGTGGAGTTGAGAAAAACAATTTAATATTTGGAACGTTTCTAGTTGGGCAGTTGTAATAATTGCGATACTCGTAGTATATCATGGATATTATAAAAATACACATATATATATAAATATACAAATATACATATATACTGATAGCAGTTGGAGTGTCAGAATTTGCAGCGCGACACACGTTCGGTCCGATATCAAATGCACATTCGTAAACACAGAGATACTGACACTATCAAACTCGCATTTTAAATAGATTGATATGCTTGCGTATAAACACACACCCTGTATACATACCCATCTTATCAGCGAAAGCGATAGCATCCTCTTTGGTGGGGAAGTCCATCTCAAGGTTACTGAGAGGGTCGGCACTGTGAAGACAAATTCAGTATACAATGAACGTAAGCATTGGTACTGTAACATAATATGATGATGAGAACAGCTATGTATCGAGCAAATTAAATTAAACACTAAGAGGCTTTCTAGATCTTCACCTGAATATAAAGTATCGCACTGATACTTATTCCATTGCAAATAGGATACAGACATTATACCTAGACAAAAAAATATAATTGACAAGAACCGCAAACTATCCACCCTGACACCACGATACTTATAAGCCGGCAACGACAAAGCACCATCGCGTGCAAAAAAAAAGGGTTTATAACTGTACAATAAAATGCATATATACATGGAAAGTAGCGCACACACGCATGGCTTAATATACAGATACGTGCATAACAAAAATACGTGCACGCATGCAATGAAGTTATCTCGCCTAACCACGAAGTTCTGTCACGGGCAGGTGGGCGTGCTTTGCAAACGAATGTTCGCAGATTTTGTTAATCCGTTAGGATCCAATCACGTAAAAATAAGGTATACTCTTATGCACAACATAAGGCAAGATGCATAATAATTCAGGATATGCAAACTTCACACTTTCATCGCGTATATTTCAGTGTGTGCATCTACGAATCCATCTTGGACCGGTGTACGCATCACATACATATGTACATATATACATAAAAAGCACTCGTGAATTGGAATGCAGGACAACGTAAAGTATCCGAGACGTATACCATTAAGTTGTATGTTGACTACATACAGTACTAACGTGTACTGTGTGACTGTGCAACTATACACGCACGTTTGAACACAGGCATGTTGTGGTGCAAGACCACTCAAGAGTGAAAGACACATATACATTCCAGGTGCCTTTACTACATACAGTACCGGCGTGTACCTGGACACACGGGGAATGCAAGGTTAGTGTTCTGCTTATGACCTTGGTAGTGCGTGACAAATCTGACCATAACATATGGTACTGAATATGATTCTGGATATTACTTTGACATACTGTCTGACCATCACATGAACGAGTGACTGTACCTGGAAGCCCATCCCATGGTTGGGTTCTCCCATCTCTCACGAGCGGTGAAGTTCAACCTCCATTTTCTATTTATAGCGGCAGAGTAAAGAATTGCACTTAGGTTGTTAGCTCAACAGCTTGAGAGATAGACCATCCCGATTTGATGGATGTAAATATTTGCAACAGAACACCATCGCACTTGATATAATCCTCTTGCAATCAGCTACAACGTTATGGCGGCAGGCAGATCCACTACCAACCCAGATGTGGTACAATATACTCGCATGTGATACATTTCATGAAGATATACAGAGAGACAGAGTATGCGCATGTGAAAATGATACAATCAATACATACGCGCAGGGCTTGTATTAAAGTCGCGCACACATACGCACGCGCAAATTTATTCGCATCACCTAGCCCAACATACATTCCCCCTTTGATCCATAAACATACACCTTGTATTACATTCTTGCGAGACAAACGCTGTTGATACTCAGTTGCACACACAGGCGCACGGACAGACTATCTCCCACATGTACATGCAATACAAAACGAGTACACGCGAGACAATACACACATGCGCCTGTGTTCACAAAACTAGCACGCTGTAGGATGTCAGCAAGCACGTATGGGAGTGCAGTAATGTGTTCATACACACCAAGATATCCATAACCATCATAAATGTACACTAGTACATGGACGCATAAAAAAAATGCACCACACACAATACATAAATTTGCAAATAACATATAGGCTCGCCTACTTTACATATCTTCACTTATGCACTAGGCCACTCATCCAAACATTACATATCAGTCTAAGATAGATTCTAAACTGCGAGTATTCCAGATCGAGAAGGCTGTAGAGAAACACAAGCATGTACGACTGAATACATCCGCGCCCCAAACAACCCCTTCCTAACACTATACAATACTCCCCTGGTGATTTAAAACACGCGCAAGCATGCATGGGAAAATCCACATACAAGACGCTCCCGACACAATACAAAACTCACATTGTCACTTATAACTCACGCAAGCATGTGTGAGCATAAATCCAAACCCACACACACGATTCGTACAATATAATACAACACTCACTTGCTGCTGAAGGTGCCAGATGACATTGACGTTTTGGCGGGAACGTAGATTTGACACGTGCGCTTGACGTGTTCTTCGGGGACACCATTTATGGCTCTGTTACAGCGATTATCAGTAGGTAGGTTTAATAGACAACACTCAGTACTTAGGTTTAACAGACAACACTCAGTACGTAGGTTTAACAGACAACACGGAATATACAAAGTCTCAAATAATACGAAATATCTTTTTGAAACATTTTACTCACTAAGATGTACCTTCGATTGGATTTACGACTTGTCAGGGCATTTATAAATTGACAAAAGAATAGTGTGATTTGATTCTGTTGTAGTATTCGATAAACACAGACAGCAACAAGAACAGATGTTAATATACAGCTAACAATACATACTTCTAAATATATGCAAGTACTCGAACAAGGGAACGATAAATTGCTATTTTACATGTGCACACTATATACCTAGCAATACAGTGCCTCTGCTTAGTTTATGTGTATATACATACAAAATACATGCACACAGTCGTATATA